GCCCTGCCCCGTGCCCCTTGAAAGCCCCCTCTTAGATGCTAGAGTTGCCTCTGGCCGACTTGCCCTACCCTCCTCTAGCAGGTGCACCTTGTACAGCTCCCTGGAGAGTTACCTCCCCCAAGTAAGAAAGAAGACATTTCTAGTGTGTCTTTCTATCTCTCTGTCTCGCACACACGCCCCCAAAAACCAACATCATAATAAGTAGCATCAGGACAAAAAACAAAAATGAAGTAGAACTTAGGTTCAGGTGTTCAGGCAGTTGTTAAGATATAGCTTGTGTTACCCACATCCCATATGCAAGGATATGGGTTGAGGACTGGCTCCACTTCTGATTCAAGCTTTCTGCTAATGTGCATCATGGGAGGTAGCAGTTGATGAATCAAGTATTTGAGTCCCTGTCACCCACACTGGAGACTAAGATCGAGTTCCAGGCTCCTGGCTTCAGCCTGACCCAACTCTGGCTTTGGAGGGCATTTGGGGAGTGAATCAACAAATGGAAGACCTTTCTCTCTCTCTCTCTCTCTCTCTCTCTCTCTCTCTCTCTCTCCTTCCTTCCTTCCTTCCTTCCTCTCCTCTCTCCCTTTCAAATAAAATGAAAATACATAAGCATGTTTTCAAAAAAGAAAGTGAGTGGAAGGAAGAAAAGGACTTCTCTCATAGTGTGCATAGCATGGTGTGTGCCAGGGGCCATCATTTTGGCATAGCAGTAAAGCCACCACCTGCAATGAGGGCATCCCAAATGGGTGCCTATTTGTGTTCCAGCTGCTACACTTCCAATCCAACCCCCTGATAACAGCCTGGGAAAACCAGCAGAAGGTGGTCCAAGTGTCTGGACCCTGCCACCCAGGTGGGAGACCCAAAAAAATTTCCTGGCTCCTGTTGCAACCAACTGAGGAATGAACCAGAAGATCTCTCTCTGTGTGTCTCTCACTCTATGTATAACTCTTTCAAAATAAATAAATAAATCTTTGAGGAACAAATGCAGGTCAAAGTCTACTTTAACATCTCTTCTCTTCAACCTCATCTCCCTGGTATTCCAACCTTCAGTGGGGTGATATGAATCAGAAGCTCTGAAGTATTCTTGCAAATGGGGAGGAGTATGCTCTGATCAGTTTGATTCTGATTCCCTTTATTTGTAATTTTAATGAAAAAAATGTAAACAAGGTTTTTAACAGTAAGAGTATTTTCCATGTGACAATTAAAGCAAAAACTGAAAGTTACAAATCCCCAAGAAATTTATATATCAGCAACTTATAGGATATATTCATTTTTTAGCTATGATTAGTGCAGTTAATTTTCCATTCTGGTAGACTAATAAAGTCTGGTGTGTTTTTACTATAGTTTGTATTGATTCTGTAGAATGTATTTTAAGTGTTATTATGGTCCCTTTCTCTACAGTACGTGAAAAGCTGAAGAGACTTACAGGGTATTTCCAGGTGTTATTTAATCAGCACTATTCTAATTAGAAAGCATATAATTTACTAAGGAGTTACAGTAGTTATAAAACCATGCATTGGGGCTGGCATTGTAGTGTAGTGAATAAAGCTGCCACCTGCAGTTCCAGCATGCCATATAGCTGCAGGTTTGTGTCCTGGCTGCTCTACTTCCAATCCAGCTCCTTGTTAATGTGCCTGGGAAAGCAGTGAAAGATGGTCCAAGTGCTTGGGTCCCTGCTCCCACATGGGAGACCTGGAAAAAGCTCTCGGTTCCTGGCTACAGTTGGGCCCAGCTCTAGCCATTGCAGCCAATAGGGGAGTGAACCAGCAGATGGAACAGAAATCTGTCTCTGTCTCTCCATCTCCCTCTTGAACTCTGCCTTTGAAATAAATAAATAAATCTTTTTAAAAAAGTATTATTTTCTTAAGAAGGTAAAAGGAACCTAAGAAAATTGATATTGAATTATTTCCTGAATGTGAATGTTTTCTTTGATCACCTTGCCGCCTTCAGCATGATCTCCTAAATTGTTTAAGTAACACTACTTAGCTGGTGCCCCCCAGATCCCACTGACTGACTCCCATCCTGCCTCCTACATTACTGGTTTCTTTCTTTCTCTTTCACATTTCACTGACTCCAGAAACTCTCTGTCCTAACAGAAAGGCTTTAGTGTGGGAGAAAAAAACATTGTCAACTGCTTAGTTAAAAGGGCCATCTTGGGGCAGGTATTTAGCCTAGTGCTTAAGATGCCCACGTTCAATATCAAAGTACCAGTTCAACACCTGGTTTCAAAGCCCAACAACAGCTTCCTGTGATTGTAGATCCTGGTGACAGCAGTGATGCTGGAAACCACTATATCAGCCTTTCATTTCCATCACCTCACCAAATTACTCTTTTTCAATGTCACTAAAGTCATTGTATGCCCCAACCCAACCGGTCAACTCCTCATCACTCTTGGTTTGTTGGCAGTATTCACACAGTGGATCATTCTTGCTTGACACATTTTCTTCACATTGCCTTGAATTAAAATTGTGTCTTATCATTTTCCTCCACTTCAGAAGCCTCCCCTCTCCATCTGCTTTGCTGCTCTTCCCTTATCTCCCTGGCCCTTCAATGGTGAAAAGCTCCAGGACTTAGTTCTGAGACTTGTTCAGTCACTTCCCAAATTAGGGTTTCCTGGGTATAATTTCACCCAGCCATTCAAAAGAATATGGTGCATGTGCTGTTATGGACCAAACTTTAAGATATATTGCTAATTTAAAAAAATGAAAGATAGTAAGCTGGATATCTGCAGGAATTTGTAACGACTGACAACATAGGCATATAAAATGCAACTCCTATTCTGACATGATTGGGCTCATAATAAACCAGGATAAAGGGATCAGTTTAAGTTCACAATTGATTATAAACATAGGATTAAGTGTCAAAGGGATCACATAAATAAGACCAAGTGTCTGCTAATAATAATTGATATAATTAAAAAGGAGAGAATGATCCAACATGGGAAGCAGGACACACAGCAGACTCATAGAATGACAAATGCCCTAAACAGCACTCTGGCCTCAGAATCAACCCTTAAAGCATTCAGATCCAGCTGAAAAGCCCATGAGAGCATTTTAGGCATGGAAAGCCAAGACACTGTGGCAAACTATAATCTACAGGAAAGATCTCAGTGAGTGAGATACTGGTAGAAAAAAGGGGCCGTCAAAGAAGGAGGTATCTTTCTCTGAAGGGAGGAGAGAACTTCCACTTTGGTTATAGCCTTGTTTAAATAATGTCGAAGTTTGTGAACTCAAGAGGCTTCCATAGCCTTGGCAGCTCGTGACAAGAGCCTCGGGTGATTACTGACTCCATAAACAAGAGTGTCAATTGTTAAATCAACAACAGGAGTCACTGTGCACTTGCTCCACATGTAGGACCTCTGTCCTTCTGTATATAAAGATAATTAAAAATAAAAATTAATGAAGAATGTGATGAGAGAGGGAGTAGGAGGTGGGATGGTTTGGGGGTGGGAGGGCAGGTATGGGAGAAGAATAGCTATAATCCAAAAGTTGTAATTATGAAATTTATATTTATTAAATAAAATCTTTCTATAAAAAAGAAAATGTGATAAAATAAATTAAAAAATAAAATAAAATAAACCAGGAAGTCACATTAAAGAGTTGAGAATGTATCCCCCTATAATCTTTTCTCTGGTTTCACCAGAAGTTGTTAAAAAAGGAAAATTAGATCTACATCCCACCCATCAGAAACAATATCTGCTAACAGGGATGAAAAATAAATAGCTATAAAGATAAGAATAAAATGGTATCACCAGGGAAATAAAAATTAAGAGTTACAGGAGCTCAAATAAATAAAACAGCTTTTAAAGGTTTTAAAAACTGAATTACTTTAGAATTTTTTTACTGCATGCTATCAAAATAAATACATCTCCTTATTATTCCTACTATAAATTGAAATTTCTTTTTTTCACATATTTTATTCAGATAATAGTCTCAACCATATGGTCCAAGACCACTCAAATAATAAATCAAATATGTTAAAGATTGCTCTTTAAATATTACAGCCAGTGATGCCACGCTTGCCTATGATCTCTCGGATATAAAATCACATCCACACCTCAGTGGCCACCAAACCATTCAGCACAGCTTCCTTAGCTGTAAGCTGTTCAAAACTACCAGTCAGAGCAGAGTTAACTATATTTTTCAGGCTTTGAATAGCTGTAGGGAACTCAGCAGTGGCTGGAGGAGCCAGCTCAACCCTGTTGTACTGACAAAATGTGGCCAACCAAGGCTTCGAGTAAGTCACAGCAGCATTCACCAGTGCCAAGGCCTTCCCCACTAGGTTCAGGACAAATTGGGCCAGGGTATAAGCTGCAAAGTCCCTATAAATTGAAATTTCTAGTTACCTACCTGTCCCTTATCCATGCAACTTTCTATGCTCTCTTATAATTGGAATGGGAGGGAAAAAAAAGCCTTTTTACTGAAAACTACCCTACCCAGTAAATTTCAAGAATTCAAAAAAATATATAATCAAGGAGCAAAACATACACAAAAATACATTTCAATTTATTAGAGAAAGAGATCAAAAATAGAAGAAATAAACACTCAAGAACTGGAAGAAGTATATAGAAGTTGACCCAGGCAGCTATTAGATGGCCCAATGGAGTCTGAATCCAGGACTGTCTGATTTGATTCCAAAGCCCATCTTCTTTCAATTTTATAGTCTGTCCCAAATATATATTCAAGTTTAAACTGTCTATAGGAGGGAGAGATACTAGAGGATGCAGCAGATGTTTAATGCAGCACTAAAGCCACTACTTGGGATGCCCACATCCCATATTGGAGTGCCTGAGTTTAAGTCCTGGCACCATTTTCCAATCCAAGTTCCTGCTACTGCACACCCTGTGAGGCAGCAGGTGAAGGGTCAAGTGCCTGGGTCCCTGATACCCAGACTGAGTTCCTGGCTCCTGGCTTTGCCCTGGCCCAGTCATGGTTGTTACAGGCATCTGGGTTGTGAACCAGTAGATGGTAGAATATATATATATATATATATATGTAAAATAGTGTGTATATATATATATATATATACCATCCAAGTACATAAATAATAAGGATGGCTTATTTTTTTAAAAGATACCAGTGGAAAGAAAATGTTTAATCTACAAGAGAAGTGCAAAAGAGGGGCTTGTGGGCATAGCAACCCTCATGGAAGAACCAGAAAAAAAAAAAAAGAGAGACACCCAAAAGCAAATATACACACAGAAATACTAAAAGCATAATGAAATAGGTAGGCAGAAAGTGTATCATTTAATTGTATACAAATACAGACTACCTTAAAAATAATTGTCGCATTTGATATTTAGTTAAATCATTGTTTTCCTTTTATTTTCCATATTTAAAGAAAAAATGATGCCCTTCCTCACATCCTCTTAATTATGCTCTATGGGCAGGAAAATTAACTCCAGGTTTAGATCTGACCCACAGGCTACAGAGTTTTATTCCCACCCTCCAGATTTTAGGCCCCAGGCCACCCAAAGACTCCATTCACATTCACTCCCTGTGTCATGCATACCTCACCTGCTCCTGCCCCAACCTTTGCTAAACTAAAATCATTGTGTCTGTTAATACTGATGAAAATCAATTTATTTCCTTTCTTAAAACTACTGAAACACTAATTTTTTAGGTCTTCCAGAATCAAATGAGGCTTAATTAACCTTCTTTCTACCAGTTGCTATCAGCTGTGGATAGTCCTTTTGGATTTTGATTGCTTTAAAATTGTTGGCAAATATACATTTATATTTGACTTTATCTTTCTTTAAAATGTCACTGATTTAGGAATGATATGGTGGTTAAGATTCTGCTTGGGGGCTGGTGCCATGACTCAACAGGCTAATCCTCCACCTGCGGCGCCAGAACACCAGGTTCTTGTCCCGGTCGGGGCGCCGGATTCTGTCCCGGTTGCCCCTCTTCCAGGCCAGCTCTCTGCTATGGCCCGGGAGTGCAGTGGAGGATGGCCCAAGTGCTTGGGCCCTGCACCCCATGGGAGACCAGGAGGAAGCACCTGGCTCCTGGCTTCGGATCCACGCAGCGTGCCGTTTGCAGCAGCCATTGGAGGGTGAACCAACAGAAAAGGAAGACCTTTCTCTCTGTCTCTCTCACTCTCGCTCTCGCTGTCCACTCTGCCTGTCAAAAAAAAAAAAAAAAAAATTCTGCTTGGGATACCTGCATTCCATATCAGATTGCCTGGTTTTGAGTATCAGCCCTGTTTCTGATTCCAGCTTCCTATGAATGTGCACCCTAAGAGGCAGCAGGTGATGGCTTAAGTATTTGGGTCCCTGACACCCACATGAGAGACCCAGACTGAGTTCTTGGCTACTGCTTTCAGCTTGGACCAGTTCAGCATGGCCCAACCCCAGCTGTTATAGAAATTTGGAGACTGAATCAGCAGTTGGTCTCTCTCTTTTTCTCTCTCTCCTTGAAATACATTTTTTTAAAAATCAACTCAACATTTTCTTAGGATGTCACTATCTCAATGAATGATCCAATCAATCATAGCTCTGATTTCAAGCAGTGAGGCATGAAAGCCACATGGATGGATGAATGGATGCATAGATGAAAGCACAGATATAATACAAATGTTAACCCAAATTAAACCTATTTTTAGTGTAGAGACCTTTGAGCGTGGTAACAATGCTATTTAAAAGTTTATTTATTGTATTACTCTACAATTTACCACAAACATCAGAGTAATGCTGTATACATTTTTCTCCAGAGAAATGCATAGTGGGATAGGTAAAATGCCAGAAATAATTAAACAAAATTTTACAATTTTGACAATTGTGACACTAGTACATATTTGGAGGTGAATATTTGCTGTGAAAATTTAAAATCTCGTTTGAATTCAGCTGATTATAAACAGCATAATTTTTCTTCAGTGTAAAGGTCCCAGAATTCTTAAAGTATTATATAATGGGAATATATGTCTTTGAATGCTGAAAAGACTTTTTTCTATATTTATCAATCTGTACACACTTATGTGTGCACCTGAATAATTACAAATAAGAAACTAATTTAGATTGGCAAGATAGACTTAAAAATTGGTAATGTAGTCCTCAGAAAAAGTTTGGGAACTTACCTCAACAAAGTGTTTTTTGAGAAATGATGTAAGCATTAACTCAAATTGCAGAGGAGAAAAATGAAATTATATTTAAAATGTGTAAATAATTTTTGAACACTAAGATATCATGCTTCCCAGGAGGAAGTAGCCTTTTCATTCACTAACCAGTGCACAATATTTTCCAGGATCCTCCATTCAGCAGAAATGCCGTGGCCATTCCCTTTATCCACAGGAACTGAAACACAAGAGACTACATAGCTGAAGAAATTGTAGTTTACTTACAGGTGAGAAACATTCAAGGCTACCTGGTTTCCAATTGAAGGAAAATAAGCAACAGCTTTTCCACAGGGTAGACTGGAACAAGAGCAACATGAACATCACGAACTGTACTACAGAAGCCAGCATGGCGGTGAGACCCAAGACTGTCACTGAGAAGATGCTCATTTGCATGACTCTGGTGATTATCACCACCCTGACCATGTTGCTGAACTCAGCCGTAATCGTGGCCATTTGTACCACCAAGAAGCTACACCAACCTGCAAACTACCTGATCTGTTCTCTGGCCGTGACGGACCTCCTGGTGGCAGTGCTTGTCATGCCCCTGAGCATCATGTACATTGTCATGGAGAGCTGGAAGCTTGGGTACTTCATCTGTGAGGTGTGGCTGAGTGTTGACATGACCTGCTGCACCTGCTCCATCCTGCATCTCTGTGTGATTGCCCTGGACAGGTACTGGGCCATCACCAATGCTATTGAATATGCCAGGAAGAGGACGGCCAAGAGGGCTGGACTGATGATCCTCACCGTCTGGACCATCTCTGTCTTCATCTCCATGCCCCCTCTGTTCTGGAGAAGCCACCGCCAGCTCAGCCCACCTCCCAGTCAGTGCACCATCCAGCACGACCATGTCATCTACACCATCTACTCCACATTCGGGGCATTTTATATCCCTTTGACTTTGATACTGATTCTCTATTACCGGATTTACCATGCAGCCAAGAGCCTTTACCAGAAAAGGGGATCAAGCCGTCACTTGAGCAACAGAAGCACAGACAGTCAAAATTCCTTTGCGAGTTGTAAGCTTACACAGACTTTCTGTGTGTCTGACTTCTCCACCTCAGACCCTACCACAGAGTTTGAAAAGATCCACAGCTCCATCAGGATCCCTCCCTTCGACAACGATCTCGACCACCCAGGAGAACGCCAGCAGATCTCTAGCACCAGAGAGCGCAAGGCAGCACGCATCCTGGGGCTGATTTTAGGTGCATTCATTTTGTCCTGGCTGCCCTTTTTCATCAAAGAGTTGATTGTAGGTCTGAGCATCTATACCGTTTCCTCGGAAGTGGCGGATTTTTTGACATGGCTTGGCTATGTTAATTCTCTGATCAACCCTCTGCTCTATACGAGTTTTAATGACGACTTTAAGCTGGCTTTTAAAAAGCTCATTAGGTGCCGAGAGCATACTTAGATTCTAAAAAGCCAAAAGCATGACTTTGGCCAGATCCTCATGAATGGACAGGGGTGAGGGGTGCAACTTATTAATTCTTGAACTTACTTGGTTCGGGAGGATTTGTAAGTATGTGTGGTCTTTTTTTTTATTTGTTTGTTTTGTTCTGTTTTGTCTGAGGCTTGTTATTTGCTGTGCTGTTTTCTACCTCTGGTCTTATTTGTGGCACATAATATAAAATAAACATTATCGTACAAAAACAGAAATTTCTTAGAAGTAATAATAAGATGAAATAGTATGTTTTTTAGCCATTTCAATTAACCCTGCAATTAAAGAATGCCCAAGAAATCCTTAATTGCAGAATTTCTTGACTTATTTATCAAATATCTGATAACTTGCCCATGTGTGGCATTAACACTGAGGTTATAGCTCTAAATGCACACACATTCCAGTGGAGGTTGCATGACTACATAAAGAATAAAAGGAAGGGATATCATGTCATCTACCACTTGCAGACCTGAGCTAAAGCTACTTACTGTAGCACTATGTCTACAAAGCCTACTCCTTTCAGGAAAAAATAGTATTTCTGGCATGTTCTTTTTAGTTCTTGATTAAATAAACATCTTCATTATCTAAAAAAGAACTTGCAGTGAATGCACTGGCAATTTCCTACATCTTTTATTATGAATGTGAAGCATAACCAATTGAGAAATTACCTAAATCTGTTTTGATCAGTGTGTTGCTATATTACCTGACAGACACATTGGGCCAGCTCACATTCTAAAAAATATTCCATCTAAGCTTCGTTATATACTCTCTCACTAGCAGGATTTTGGTGAGAGTACATATCAACTTTCGGGAACTTTTTTAAGAAGTGTAACACGATACAGTGATCAAACGAGGGACTACATTATCTGAATAACTGTTGGAGAATCTGGGAAGGAATAAAAAGCTGAAAATCTATGCTTACAGCAAAGATCACCCATCAGGAAATGAGTATGAGACTGTGTCTCCTGGAATTCCTGTGGCTTCTGTGCCAGGCTGCACCCTGGCCCAGAAAGCTGCAGGTGGGACCTGATGCTACACAATGTAGCCTGGCTCAGCCTCACATGATGGAGAAAGACACCTCTGGTAGTGTGGGAGAATGCACCACTATGAGCAAGAATGATAAGACTGAAAGCTTATAAATTCCTATATGACTCTCCTCATCCTCGATCTTTGTCTCTCAGCTACATCCTCTCCCCTTCTCTTCACTTTTCTGTGTTCACTGAGAAGGTATCAGTTGGCCTCCTCTCTATCCCCATGTTTTTACCCCTTCAAGATGTATCCCCTCCCAACTTTTTGGTAATCTGTTCTTTTTCTCCTCTCTCTCTCTTTTTCTTTATTCAAGCTACCCCTTTTCCTCCTCACTATTATTTTAAAAAGAAAGAAAGATTTATGTATTTGAAAGAGCTACAGAGAGAGGGGAAGAGGTAGATCTTCCAAGTCTCCCACATGGGTGGCAGGAGCCCAAGCCCCTGTCCTCTCGGCCTCTATCAGGCCATTAGCAGGGAGCTGGACTGGAAATGGAGAAGCAGGGCCATGAAACAGCACCCATATGTGATGCTGGCATCGCAGACTGCAGCTTTAGCTACTACACCAAAATGCCACCCCCTATTCTTCTTTAATCTACCTATTAATTTATCCAAGTCTTTTGTACACTAAAATCAACATTCTCTAGTCCTACTTCCCTATCAAGCTCCTGTTTCAGTGCTCCCTGAAACTCTCACCTGAGTTTCTCCAATCATTAATCTGCTCATTCTGTCTTCTTACCTTCTACTGATTATTCTATCCTTTGCCATTATAGTATGGCCTCCCAGTTCTCCCCAAACTGGCCTCCCAAAGATGATTGACAACTTTTCAATAGGAAAATCCAGTGACCTTCCTCTGTTCTTATCTACCTCTCTTTCTCTTATCAATTAAAGCAGCTAACTCTCCTTTTCTTGTTTATGCCCATGCCTCCAGGATATTTCACTCTCCTACTGCTCTGGACCCCTTATTTCCTCATTCATTATCTTCTCATTCTCCATCCTCAGCAATCACCTCCTATATTTCCATAAACCATCCCAACTATTATTCCATCAATAAATTCTATGCCTATGTCTCTTAAATTTGTGGCTTTAGTTATCATTACCCTTTTTCAGGCTCCAGACCCAAATATTATGTATGGTGACCACTTCCCTATGAACATTCCACTGGTCCCTCAAAAACCCTTCCAAAGTCAACTCATGATTATTTTCTCACCCTCAAACCTTCTCTTACCTTCACCTTCAAAGTCTCAGATCTCAGAACTGACATGCCTTTAATCATTCATACTAGGTTTGATTGTTTCAGTTTGTCATAGGTCTCCCACATTCAGATAGTCTTAATGTCTTGTCCATTTACCTCTACAGAAACATTAGTAAATACTACCTTCTTCTTCTATTATTTGGTCTTCTCACCTGGACCAAATCCCCTTAGTTAATCCACTTAATTCTGGAATCCTGCACCTGCAATTCTGCCCCTACATCTAACTAGAGAGACCTTTCTACAATGGGTCAAGTACCATTAGCAACACCTGGGAACCTGATCAAACTGCAAGCCATGGGCCCCACCCAAGACCTGCTGCATCATAAGTTCTAAGAGTAGAGGCCATCAATCTGTGATGCATGCTACAGTTTGAGTCACTACCTTAGAGTGTACCCTTGATTTTTAATTGTATTCCCACCCCTCTTTCCCCATTAGTAGAAAATTATGATTCCTCAGTGTAGCATTCAAGATTCCGTCACTGTGTAGCTTCAAACTGACTTTCCAGAGTTATGTTGCATGACTTCTTCTCGATCACATCACAGTGCAGTAAGGTCTGAATATTACCTGTGCTTCTAAGCCTCCTAATGTTTGTACCCACGCCTTCAGAAACGTGAGGCCCACGGCTTCCCATCTTCTTTCCACCAATTCTTCACCATGTCTCTTCTGTGAAGTCCTCCCGAGATCCTGCTTCCCTATGGACGCCCTCTCTCCCTACCACATGCTCCCAGAGAACCTGCCTTGCATATTTACTATTATGTGCCTCCTATTGTCTAGGGCCTTTGTGTATTTGTGCTATCTTCTCCAGTAGATTGGGGGCTCCTTGAGGGCAGGGACAGCATCTCTCTCATCCCTGCATCTTAGGGCTGCTACAGTGTTTTACACACAGTAGGCACTCAATAAACGTTAGTGTGAATGAAAGTAAATCCCTGGGAGAGAAAATGTGAATATTCCATCTTCTCTCTGTGAGAAAACCCATGGTGAAACATCAACCTCATTTTTCCACCAAACGTTAACCTTGCCATTACAGATTTGTTCCAAATAAAAATGTCAGGAAAAAGTTCTTCATGGGGGAAAAAATGCCACATTGAATAGAAGTAAACATCCTTTATTTGTTAGGATTTCAGCCAACCTGCCCTCAAAAAAGAGAAACACACAACTCCCCCCCCCCCCAAAAAAAAGTAGCTTTTTTTATAAAAAGATCTCCCTCTCTCTCTCCTCAACCTCCTTCAAGAGGTGGGAGAGCATCCCAGAATGACTAGGGGCCTCTGCTCCACAGTTACATAGAGACTCAGATCCCTTCTATCTTGGCTCTGCCTTCCCCTCTGGAGGTTCAAAGCTGAGTCACCATCACTTTGAAGCTCTTGTCCATGTGAAGGAAGAGAAAGGAAAGAGAGAAAAAATTTCCTTTTCAGAATGTATGTAGAAATCGTATACATCACACCTGCTTACTTTACCTTAGTGAGCAAGGAGGGAAGTCTCTAGATGGGCAGTCATGTGCCTCACTAAAGATGCTGGATGATGGGTCAGCATTATGATTTGGAGGGTTAAGTCACAACTTGTGACACTGGCATTCCATATCAGAGCACCAATACAGGTCCTGCCTGCTTCACTTCTGATCCAGCTCCCTACTAATGCATCTGGGAAAGCAATGAGTGACAGTACAAGTACTTGAGCCCCTGTCATCCACATGGGAGACCCAGATGGAGTTCCAGGCTCCTGGTTTTGGCTGGTTGCAGCCGTCTGGAGAGTGAACAATCAGATGGATGAGCTCTCTCCCCCTCCCTTTGTCACACTGCCTTTCAAATAAATGAATCTTTTTTAAACTGTGGTATCTGACCTAATAATAAAAAGAAGGTGAGAACGGATACAAGGGAACAATGATCCATCTGCTATAAAAGGGTATTGGTTTTGGTATGAGTAGCTTAAATATTACTGAGCAAATCACATGTCTGCCCAATTAATAGTGAGCCATGTACAAGGATGTTAACATTTAAATTATAGGTGATTCAACTAAGATTATGAATACACTAATAATATCTAATATTCATCTTGACTATAATGTCTAGAAAGTATATGAACAATTCACGTTACTTTCATTGTCCTCCATATATCATAATTGAAAATTCCTGGTAATTTTTTTTTTTAACAGGCAGAGTGGACAGTGAGAGAGAGAGACAGAGAGAAAGGTCTTCCTTTGCCATTGGTTCACCCTCCAATGGCCGCCGCGGCCGGCGCGCTGCGGCCGGCGCACCGCGCTGATCCGATGGCAGGAGCCAGGAGCCAGGTGCTTTTCCTGGTCTCCCATGGGGTGCAGGGCCCAAGCACCTGGGCCATCCTCCACTGCACTCCCTGGCCACAGCAGAGAGCTGGCCTGGAAGAGGGGCAACCAGGACAGAATCCGGTGCCCCGACCGGGACTAGAACCCGGTGTGCCGGCGCCGCTAGGTGGAGGATTAGCCTAGTGAGCCGCAGCGCCGGCAAATTCCTGGTAATTTTAAGAGCTTTACAATTTTAAGAGTATAAGAAATAAAAGCAAAAGGAAGATGCATAAAGAATATTCACTTGCTCATTTTTACTACCTCATTTTCAATTTACTAGACAAGTCCTAATTAAATGTATTTCTGCTACTTCTGCCATTAGCAAAGAAATTGCATATATTTCTAACATAAGACGAACCTTTTGAAAAATATTGTTTTATTTGTTCATTTAACTAACAGTGCCAGCAACTATTGACCACTATTCCCCCTTGAAATTAAAACTTGAGAGGATAGAAAACACCTTATAATATTTGTATAGTCAGTTTTTCTAGTGAAATCATTAGCATGCTAAAAACATTTCATTTGCCTCCATTAGAAATTAGAACTTCTTAGTGTGTATACTTGGTGAAAGAATTCTTAGACATAAGTCACTCCATGGTATACCTGGTAGATCCTTTCATTATACATGGTAGCCATGAGAACCACTATCTACCATGGACAACCATATGGGCCTCCTGTACGCATGGAGTTTGTAAACTCTGATAATGATATATGAGGTGAATTTTCAAACAATATCCAGCAACTGTGCTACATACAAGGCATTTCAAGCCTGGCCATCACATTGGTATTAGGCTACTAATGCAGGGTTGCTTTGCTTGATTTGCTTCTAAGATCCCTCACACAACAACATATAACTCCATTATACACCGCATTTGCCAAAGAAGTGTGAAAATCAAGAGTTTGTGAAAAGAAACATGACTATAATAAAAAATCAAGTAAATGTAATTTTTTAATAAAAAGTGCTGATAAAATGACAATTATTGCATAGAAGAGTGGAAATCTATCTTGTTTCACTTTCAAGGGCTATCACATGCAATATGTGAAAAGCACTGTGCATAAATTATTTTTTATTTTTATTTTTTTAACTTTTATTTAATGAATATAAATTTCCAAAGTACAGCTTATGGATTACAATGGCTTCCCCCCCATAACGTCCCTCCCACCCACAACCCTCCCCTTTCCCACTCCCTCTCCCCTTCCATTCACATCAAGATTCATTTTCGATTCTCTTTATATACAGAAGATCAGTTTAGCATACATTAAGTAAAGATTTCAATAGTTTGCTCCCACATAGAAACACAAAGTGAAAAATACTGCTTGAGTACTAGTTATA